ATTTTCTCCCGCTCACCGCGTCCACCGAACGCGAAACGATTCCTCTTTTTTCGACGTTTCGTCTTGTTTATAAATACAATCGGGGAACCGCGTACATGCCGTGGAACACATTCACCGACGCGTGAATTAATACTGTAAACAATCCGAGAGCCACTCGGTTGAATGGCCGGAGTTGGTTAAAATCGCTGTTTTTGTCGTTTCCGTGAAAATGCAGTCGCCCGGCAGAATGCACCGGGGTGGTCAATGACACAACGTCTAAAATTAAACGCACGTTTTGCCATCAATCTCGGACGCGTACGGATTATACCTTACGAATTTATCAAACGAAAACCCGGATCTCTGTTCATTTCCAAATTTTCCAAGAAACTTGTTAAGGGGTTAGTCGCAGTCAGGAAAATGGAAACGGACAGTTTCTTGTGAGTATGTGTGTGTGTTTTTTTTTAAGGTATTAAATAATAATTTTTATTAATGAAATGTAAATATATTACAAAGTATGTCTTAAAGAATTATAAAAGAATTTTTCTTTTTAAAAAAAGGTTAATTCATTTCGTCAAACTGGTGCACCTGAAAATAAAACTGAAGGTAGATTTAGAAAATATATTAGACTAATCCTGATCGAAGGATTTTTTACTTTCTGGTATACTTTTTTTTTTTATCCTGTATTGAATCGCTTAATTTTAGTGAAAAAAATTGAAAATCAACTTCAAATGTACGCCATCTTGTTTTAAATTAATTTTTTCCAAAATTCTTCGTTCAGGGACCCGCTGGACTAATCTATTTTCGAAATCTACCTGTGTTTTTGTTTTCAGGTAAACCAATGTAGAGAAATCTTGCTCACCGCAAACCTATGTTTTTAAATCATTGTCTACGTCATCGGCTGTGATGACGATATAAATTGAACGTTTCTTAAAACAAAAAATGTTTTTTAGTTCTTTAAAAACATGCTTTATAATATACTTAATTGTTACGTATGCAAATTATTATTTAATAACTAAAAAAAATCACAAAGAAATGTCGTTTTTCCTCTTCCCGACTGCGACTAACCCTTTAAGTTTGTAATAACTCGAAATAAAAAGTTTAGAAAGTAATCAACTTTCATGCGAGATAACTTCGATTCCTAGTTAAATAATCTACATCACCTGATCCATATGGAAGTTAAATTGATCAAGTTTTTATTTCAACTTGTTATAATCTCGGCTACGAGCTCGATTGTTATTCATTCTTAGCGTCGCAACGGTATATTGACGTAACGCGTAAAGAAAACCGTATTAAATCAGTTAAATACGTGTCACTGTACACGTAAACATTCATTGATCGTTAAATTTCGTAAGTACGACGCGTCGATCGTCGTAACCAGACTGAATGGACGTTAGAAAGCTCCTTAGCCTGGATTCCAGTGACAGAATTAATTAACACGTTGGCCGTCGATTTAGGAAATAAGCCACGCGTGTGTATACAGAGGTCGTAAAGAAAGTAAGAAAACGAAATCCGCGTAGGAACAGCCGTGTTTCGCAAATCTGTTCGTTCCTTTTACGTGGACGTAGGTATGCCATAGAACGAGCGAAGATAAGATCAGATGATTTGCGCGAATGGGTCACGAGGAAATAAAACTTTCCATGCATCGTTGAAGCTGTAAGTTTCAAGTACGACTTCGCACTTAGGGCCAGTATAATAGTATAGTTGACAGTGTAGTGGAAGTATAGTACTGTAGTAGATAGAAGAGCATAAAGTATAGGGTGTATAGTAGAGTCTGTAGTTACATTATAGTTGAATAGTAGACACTATAGTGTCGCTACAATTACAGTATAGTGATATAGTAGACGCCGCGTCATACTGACACCAACCAAGCAATCCGTCTGATAAGAATCGAATTTGCTCAAGGACTTTTGAAAGGCTCGAAATCTGTTTAACGGTATTAATATGCGGCACGTGTTGCACACTTCTAATAAGCTACGTACAAACATTCACCGGGATACGTGTTACCAAAACGTCTAACGGAAATCGAAGTCCAATCTAATCGGGATCGAAGAGTCGGTATCGTAAATTACGGTTTAATCCATTAACACCGGTTTGGGGAATACGAGATTTTTCCCCTCAAGTTATCGACCCAGATATAGCTGCCGATATTTCTCTGAGAATCCGACGGAATTTACTAGTATACTATCTACCGTAACGTATCCTGTTTACACGGCTTGTACAGTGTGTCCCAAAAATGTTGTAACACCTTGAAAGAGGTGGTTCGGGAGGTGATTTGAAACAACTTTTTCCTTAGCGAGAATGTTGTCCGAGGTTTCGTTGAGGAGATATTAAAGGAAAACACTGACCAATCAGAGCGCGCGGATACCGTTGGAGCGGCCGTGGTAGCGAAGGCTATGTGCTAAGCGGCCGCGCTTGTACGCGAACAAGTGACTCGACGTGCATCGAAGGACATTGGTCGCGGCCGCTTAGCTCGTAGCCTTCGCTACCCACGGCCGCGCTAACGGTATACCCGCGCTCTGATTGGTCAGTATTTTCCGTTAATATCTCCTCAACGAAGCCTCGAACAATATTTTCGCTAAGGAAAAAGTTGTTTCAAATCACCTCCCGAATCATCCATTTCAAGGAACTGCAACATTTTTGGGACACCCTGTAGATGTAACCAGGGCCGCGTTTACCAAGAAGCTGACAAAACATTAGCCTCGGGCCCCGAGTGCCTAGATCCGCCATTGGCTATAACTATACGCACGTGGAATAAATTTTCTATTATAGTTTAAGATACGGCGCTATGTTTTATTCTTTCCTATTCCTATTCTATGTACTATCTCAGCTTTCTGAGAATAGGTTTCACAATAGCAGCTTCAACACGCCACTTCTGCGATCTACTAAACACGTAAAAAGTAAATAAATTTTACATGATAACACTCATGTAATACGATGACAAGTTAAAATTGTTCTATTATACGTAGTCGAGCTAATCTAACGACGAACATTATTTATTAGTCATGTGTTATTTTTCCATTCGTATTACGCATGTGTTTTTACTAATTGTAAGACGGATTTCCCCTGCTACACTTCCATTCAACAAACGCTCTTAATATTCCACGGCATTATTATCTTAAAAGTGTAATGCCCTTTAACCCCAAAGTCACTTCGTATCAGTGAGGTTAACAGCCTTATCCATTCGTTTACGAAGGTTTTCGCCTTCCCTCGCGGTTTTTAAAATGTTCGTTACACTTATAGGAATGGAATATTATAATCGGCAATGTTATCGTTTCAATTATCTATCGGTGAAACGTGTGCCACGGATATGTAGATTTTATCAATAAATTCGTCTCCATCGATAAATTACAAGAGCAGAAAATTACGCGATAGTATAAGCAGATAGCACATTACGTTGTGACGTAATCGTAAAATGCCACGCGTGTTCCCCCATCGGTCGTACTACGATAATTTTATTTTCTCTAGGTAAAAGAATTTTGTTCCCCTTCGCGTCATGGATAATAGATTTGAACTTTTTTTTTTCTCACAAGACGTCGGGAACCCTTTCAAATGGGCGCATCTTGAACTCTTATGCAACCGTGTCGATCGTATTTAGGAACTGGTTCGTGGTGCAAACAAAAACATTCTGCTTCGCCCACACGTGCGCGTGGCCGCGAGAAACGTGTTTTTTAGCTGAGAAAAACATGGCCGTTCCGATTACGCGATAACAATGATATATTTAAGCGGCTGGTCAGAATAACGGAATTAGAAAAATTTCCATGAAACGCGATAAGGGATCTTCAATTATTCAATGCGACGAATAACATTTATTCTCGATCATTGTATCGCGTTAAAACGACGAAGCGACAGATGGGTAGTAGACATTCGAATTGTTAGAGATTTCAATAGTTAATGCCCCGTAAAAATATATACGGAACTATCGTGCTGCTTTAAAGCGTCACAATGCATTTGGCAATGATGCACGCATGGCACCTGTCACGATAGAGTAACATCCGAACTACTGCACTACGCGTACGTTTAACCTTTTTTCGTTGTTTTTTATTCGTCTAACTAGTTCTAAGAGTTACTTAGAAATCGGCTGTCTCTATCGTGTTCCCGTAGAGATCGTATCGTGCTTTTATTGTTCGTAGAAGTCTGCGTTAAACGTCGCAGTCAAAGTTCTGTGAAGTACGTTTTACGAAAAGGGAGAAATCGTTGGACCATCGAGAACCTGTTTGAAACTTAGTTAATAGCCATATAATGTTTATTTCGCGAATTACGTTCACGGTATGCGTAACACGGCACTTCTCTCGCAAGGGTCACAATTCTCGTCGAGTTTCTTTCTATCTCGCACTCACCTCTCTTTCTCACTGCGTGTCACCACTTGTCGTTGATACGTACACACCGTTGCAACTTGAAGAGTAAAATTTAACGATCCCCTTGTATGATTTACTTCCTCGAACTTGGCCAATATCGTCGCACTTACGCTCGCCGTCAGGCTGGGCCGCACGGCGCCGCGCCCGGACGAGGCCCGTACGCGTTATTAGACAGCATACGCTCGCTCATACTGGCAGTGACGCCATTTGCACGAATCCGCGTCTACGACGGACAACGGACGAGTGCGGTGCACAGCTGACAGGGGCGCGCTTACTACGACCAATCACGGAACGCCGTTGAAAGTAGTGCCGTCTGCCAGCGAACCAATCAACGAGAACGCACTCGGTCGTATTATGCGCGAAAAATTCGAAGCTAATGGAAAATTTAAATCATTGTTAAGATATTAGGTTGTCCCAAAAGTTTCTTTCGCTTTATTAATAAGTAATACATGCACAATATTTTATGTTTTATGTTACATTACTGAATTGTGCACGATTCATTTTGCTTCATTACTGTTACAACATGAATATCTATGAAATTAGATTGTCCATTTATATAAACAGGATCACATAAAATTGAGTGCAACTCGCGAAAGAAACTTTCCGGACAACCTAATAAAATAGCCAGTACTTGAACTCAAAATGAAATGTTTATTTTTTTAAAGGTATTAGAATAACTTATGGTAATGACACTATGGTAGTAAACACTATAATACAGTAGTACGGTTAAGCAAATATGTAACAAAGTACTTGTTTCCTCCATTTTTTCTTTTTTTTTTTCTCTCGATTACGTGACGCTATTAGGTTGAAACAACGTGATAGAAATATGTTGTAGCTGCTATGGATTTTCATACTTATACCGCGTGGCGAGTTGCCCCCGAACGATAATACGAGATCGTTTACATAAAATTTGATAGATTAGTTGACCTAGTTTTGTGAAAATCGCGCCAACTTTGGCCAATCATAGAACGGTACCCACACTTGCAACTCGTAATGGAACTGATGGATGCGATTACTTTAAATTCCTTGTTTTCGCTATGTTTAGAGTATCGCGACATTCTTTTTCTCGTATGACAAAATTAAACGAGAATATCGAATGAATCGTTAGTACGTGTAATATTAGAGTAGAGTTAGGAAATAAATGCACTTGAAAAATTTTAATAAGATGGTAGGATAGCTGCTAGCGTAGTTGCAACTAATACATGTTGCAAATAATAAATATTGGAACTTTAAAAATTCCATAATTTTAATGCTTGTTGTTAACAACGTAATATTTTTATTCCATTATAAATCGATAACGTTAGATATGATATCAGAATGAAATGAGAGCTTCCCGAGCAACTAAAGTTTGACCACAGTCCATAGACCTTTCGTTCAAGTAAAATATTTGAAAATATCTTAAATAAGCAGCTAGTTAGGTTGTTCATTTTACAATTCGTGTATATTTGTTGCATAACTGATGATAAAAAATCAAGTAAAGAAAAAAACATGAGTCATTCGTTTCGCAAGTCATTAAATATATTCTCACTTCAAACAGTGTAAAGGTTAGATTTCGGTAGTTGTGTAGTCTATATCGTTTTACACTTGTTTAAAAGCACGTGGAATTCTTACGCCCTTACGATCGAATAAAAGTATTCGAAAACATGAAACAGGAAACGTTGAAAGGTTGGCGTATTATATGGTGGTTATTTAAATTATTTGGCTTTCCAATAACTATTCCATGGTTGATATATCACTTTTTTGACATAATGCAAACAAAACGAAGAAAAGCAACACTCAGTGGAAAGGTAAATGCAATTAACATTGTATAATTTCAATTAAAAACGTAGTACACTTTTATATCAAATTTACATTGTAGGTTGTAATCATCACTGGAGCCAGTTCAGGATTAGGAGAAGCATTAGCTCATGTTTTTTACAACTGTGGTTGTAAAGTTATTCTAATTGCTAGAAGGAAGGCAGAATTGGAAAGAGTAAAAAATGTTTTAGTGAATACTCATCATGTATGTTTGTATTTATTAACATACATTATACATTATATATTATATATTGTACATTAAAATTCAATTTTTAGACGATACCTACTCATCCTCCTACAATTTTACCATTGGATATTACTGATATTAATTCCCTACAATCTGAAGTGAGAAAAATAATTGAGATTTATGGAAAAGTTGATATCTTGATCAACAATGCTGGTATTTCTTATAGAGGAGAAGTTGTTAATACTAATGTGGATGTGGATATAAAAGTCATGCTTACAAATTATTTTGCACAAATCGCTTTAGCTAAAGGTAAATATTATTCAAAAGTTTAAAGAAAAATGTTTTGTTACTACTTAAAAATTTATACTATTACAGCTGTACTTCCATTTATGGTGAAACTACAGTCTGGTCACATAGTTTGCATAAGTAGTGTGCAAGGCAAAATTTCCATTCCGTATAGGTAAATACAATTTTTACTTAGTATTAATTATTAAAAGTAATTTGTAAAAGTTTAATAATTATCATGACAGATCTGCATATGCTGCATCTAAACATGCATTAGAAGCATGGTGTGATAGTTGTAGAGCAGAATTGGCTAACCAAAACATAAAAGTTACCGTCATAAGTCCAGGTTATGTACGAACGGCTCTTTCTCTTAATGCATTAACAGGAAATGGACAACTTTATGGAGGTTGGTAAATTAGAAGATGTAATCTGAATCTAATATAATTATTTACACAACATTCCTTTGCAGTTATGGACAAAACGACAGAAGAAGGTTACTCTCCTGAATATGTGGCAGATTGTACTTTGAAAGCAATATTAAAGGAGGAAAAAGATGTATTAATAGCTCCAGTGACACCAAGACTTGCAGTATATTTACGAACTTTATGTCCATCGCTTTACTTCTGGATAATGCAGAAGCGAGCGCAAAAGTCAGAAAAAGAAGACTAATTTCATTGTGATGTAGCGTTTATATAGATTATTCTTGTATTATATTTTCTATGTTCTAATATAATTGTTATTTCTACAAAGTATTCTGTTTACTTTTGTATGTATAAAATTTTCCTTATGTAAAGTACAGATTGTAATGAATAGTTTTGTAATGTAATGAATTACAAAACTTTTCATTAACTTTTAGAATAGAATTAATATTCGTAAATGAGATACACAAAATTATATCCAAACTATATTTTATTATGCCACTCGAAAGTGGAATATGTTTACATTATATACATTTTAATACTATAAACATTTTAATGGAATTGAAACAGAAGCACTATTAAACATATGTGTCACCCATTACTTGAAACGTTAAGGGACATATAGTTTAGTGATAGTAATTGCTGAAATTTTGTTTTCTAGTAAGTACAAAATAAATGCTTAAGATTCTTGAACAATTAAATCTTTCCAAGCCATAAATGACACAACAATGAATCTATCTAACACGCAAATTATCAGAAATACGATATTACTGACTGTTAATAGTTTATTATGCATCATCTCGAATAATAAACCTATACTGTTATGATAAATATTTGGCTAGTAATTGAAACATGTACACTGTTGCACAAAATATACAGTAATTGGTACGAACTTTGTTGTCATGGCAGGATTGTGAACACTTATTTGTGCTTTTTCTATTCATTAGTAATGTTTCAAATTTTTATGTATAATTTTTCAGATTATTGTAGTATAAATTAATTGACATTAATTTTATTAAAAATAAATGTATTACAATCACTCACTTTTCCATACGACTATAATAAAGTATGTATTTGTAATATACATGAAATGATTAATAACAACAGTAATAATGTAGATAAATTGAATTTTGAACACATGCTGTGGAAAAAGGATAAACTTTTAATCTTATTTAAAGTATTCCATGGTTGCTGATTTTACCTACTTTCATTTTTATTCTGTACCATAGTTTTTTTTCATAATGTCTGAATGAAGTAAATCAACATTACAAAACATACAATTTCTAAAGTAAACTTTTATATTTTTATATATCTTGAAAAAGTGTATACAGTAGTTAATGTCTTTAAAGTAGTAGAGTTTTTATTTGTGATGTAGGTGGCAACTTTTGTGCTATGGCTGTTATATAGCTACACATTAATTGTAAAAGATGTTGCTTAGTTTTTGTTTCGTTTGAAATTGTCAAAACAAGTTTGAAATACATTACACATGTTGTTATGCATTAAGCAGATCTATAATGTGTATACAAACACATGCAAGGATTTGTTGGAATATCAATAGACTGCAAGTTTTTGGAAAAATTTTATCATAATAAATTACATAACCTTTATTATTATGCTCACTTACAGGAATGTTTGTGACATTTATTTTTAATCTTCCATGTATTTGTGTATTGCATAATAAAAGTCTTACGTAATTGATAAAAATTCTGTGTATTATGCTAATTAATATGTTTGCTAAATAGCAAGATTAAAGGAATATACTCCTTAAAAGGTTTCATATAGACATTATTTTCTTTTAATGTGGGCTGTACCTTTGGGTGAGAAAATCTAGGCAACATTCTTGTCGGTGTACCATATGCAGTGTATTCTATCTATTTTATTTACAATCTAAAAATATATAATTCTAAATTCAACTTTCCAGGTGTATGGTTGTATTTTGTGTAACTCTAAGAACACTTATATCAGTAGATGTTTCACCGAAGCAATCATGTCTTTCTTTGTATTAAAATTAACTGATAATCTCCAACAAGATGGAGATCATAGAGTAACAATGTGGAGCTTTAAGAAACATTAGCTTTTATAATGAATAGGTTCATAGAATAGGTTAATTTTTACGTCTTTTTATATCTTCCATTCTATTGTTAAACCAGCATTCACCTGAGGTAGTCAAAAAATTAAAAAAAAAATTATAAACATTAAATGAAAACAGATCTTTTATGTGCCTCAACAATCCCCATTAATATATGTGAAAACATCTGTAACTTTTTTTAATTCACAGATTTCTATGCTAGGCCTTATTACGATTATGTAGAATACATCGCATGGCCTACCTTACTGCTTTTTACAACTTAGTTTATTTCTTTTCAGGCATTTATCATTTCACTTAAATGCCTGGTAAACCCTCCATGCACTGATGCCCAATGCAACAAGTGTAATAGTGGTATGGAGAATTCTTCTTCTTGTGTCATCTTTTCTTACAAGAAATGTAGGAGATGATGGGCCTAAAACGGCTAACAATTCTACATGGGGTAGCTTACTTGTGTCAGTTTCAACTTGGTATTGGCAACAGGGATCGAATTGCCATGAAACAGTATAAAGTCCACAAGATATTACAGATATAAAACCTAGTGGACCACAGATGAAAGGCCGATCACCCCAAACCAGACCTGTAAAACATAATAACATAAATTAAATAAATAATAATGTTTATTAATATGGCACATAAAATATAAACTTGATAAACCTGTGGTTATAGCTGCAAGGCCCAACAATGCTGCAGTCTTATGAAGGCAGTTTCCTACTGCTATCCATCTTGAGGTTTCATCACCTAATTTAGATGGTTCGATAACGATTAAGCTGCACTCAGACTCTAAGGCTCTTTCTAACTCATATTCAAATGTTTCATGTGCATTTTCGTTATCATATACCTCCCTAATAATGGCAACATTCGAGGAATCATCCCTGTAAGAATTTTATATTTACCTTCTTTAAGTCATATGATTTACGCTTATAATTAGAATTATGTATAAATGCAACTAATATATTGGTTATCTCTATTTAAAGTATAATATTATCATTCATATATATTCAAATTATAAGATTTGATTTCAAGTTTAGGATATATTTATATGTATTGTTCGAATAATTGGAACCAATCTCTATGAACTTTATCACAAATTAATCCTTTTATGTGTTATGTAAGATGCTGATTGGAATTGATCAGCGTCACATTTGTTTGAATACAAATACGTTTTTAACATATATAGCAATATTCTTTACGTTGTTATATATTCAAGCAGAATTTAATTTATTTGTATCGAAATCCGGTAAGCAATAGATACGCATCGTGGTGTTGAAAATTTAGGTAAAACTGACAGGTGAAGCGAAAAATACACAAAAATAATAGATACAACGTGTATAAATACTTTGTCATTGACTCGAAATTATTCTCAGTCCCGTCTTTAGATGGAAATTTACGGTTTAGTGAAATATTCATGGATATCTAGCAGAGATTATGAAAGATTAATCTCTCGAATACGAGGAATTACATGTGAGGTTAATTTTATTTCAAAGTAAATATTATACCATCGTAATGAATTTCGTAGTGTACATTGGCGCTAGTTAGAGTTATTAGATTTCGTATATAAGCCGAAAATAATTTGGCCTACGAACCTGTCACCAGCTTCATCTACCATCTTTACAGTCAGTCTTCCAAACACTGGAACGTTGATCTGGATGAACCGGAAAGAGAAATGTCGAACATCGGACCGGATGCAAAAATCAGCTGATTCCATACCAGCGTTTGTTTGACTCAAGTTGTACTCTGTATTCCTGGCTTGTTCGAACGCGATCTTTTGAAAAATCGTGAAACGTTATTTTCCAGTTTTTTCCCTGAATTTAGCTGAATTCGAAGATCATCAGTGCTCGATTCATTAATCGTAAAGGTATTTGCAATTTCTGAATATTTATATTCTTCTATATTTACATATTTCCTCGGATAAGTAGCGTTAAGAAACGTTTCTTTTTCTATCGAATACAGATTTACAGATCCTTTGGTATCTATGGCGGCTTACTTTTAATCCTATTGGCAATATGCTTAATATCTAAATTTAGCAGTCGTTATAGCGATCGATATGGCGAAACATTTGGTTCACAGTCAAATGTTCTCGCACCTTACTCTAAATTAACGAAGGGCGTTTAATCATAATGTTAAATGAGCTGGAGCATCATTATTAGATCAGATACATGACATCGTAATTGGGGTACGAAAATTGCATCTCGAAAATTTTATAACAATGTTCGAAGATTTAAAGCCTGTATAGCCTTTTAGAGTGATAACTCAGGTCATCAAATACCAACTATGTTATAAATACGTCTAAAATGATCGCAATATCAATACAATTAGATAATAAGTTCTTGCGATCTTTTCTACGCAGAGGTTTGAGTACAAAATTTTGCTTCATTGTATATTCGCTTCTGTGTTATGGGAAGGGAGAAGTGTTCGGGGTTGTCTGGGATTCGAGCCAATTTAGAAAAAAGACTAACGACAATTCATACGAGGCAACAAAACATTACGAAAAGAAAAAAGAATAGAGAGACGAGAAACCGTTGCTCGAAGTTCTTACGCCATGGCGCTGTACAGGGTGTCCCAAAAATGTTATAACACCTTGAAAGGGGTGGTTCGGAAGGTGATTTGAAACAACTTTTTCCTTAGCGAAAATGTTGTCCGAGGCTTCGTTGGGGAGATATTCACAGAAAACCCCGACCAATCAGAGCGCGAGTATGCCGATGGAGCGGCCGCGGTAGCATACGAGAGCGGCCACCTAGTGCGTAGCCTACGCTACCGCGGCCGCTCCACCGGCATACTCGCGCTCTGATTGGTCGGGGTTTTCTGTGAATATCTCCTCAACGAAGCCTCGGACAATATTTTCGCTAAGGAAAAAGTTGTTTCAAATCACCTTCCGAACCACCCCTTTCAAGGTGTTACAACATTTTTGGGACACCCTGTATTCCGGCCAGGCAGAGGACTGGTTTCGCGTCGGCGTAGTAACTGGCCTCGAGGTGCGCGCTGCGGTCGATCGAGCGAGAGTGAGCGCTGCGGACGGCACGGAGGCCGAGTTAAACGGGCCAGATCGCAGATGGACGTCCGCGGGAGCGTTCTGTCATGGAGAGCGCGACGCGACGTGTCGTAAGTGTGCTCGAGTGTCGTCGTCGTCGTCGTCGTGGTCGTAGCCGTCGCGTGTGCAACGTCCCGGGATTATCTTAGTGACAGTCGACAGAGACAGGCGTGCGCGCGAGGATATCGTGGGTGCTCGTGGTGCTAGAATCCATCCAACGTAAACCGTGGCAGCCAAATAATCACGTCGCAACCACGTCCCTCCTAAATCGAGGCGATTTCGGAGCAACGAGATCAGTGATCCTCTATCGATCGACCGATCGGCACGCACGCGTGTTCACGACGAATTCGATTCGTCGAACAATCGATAGATTGGTGAACGGGTGCTGTGATTTAACTACGGTGCACGCGAGTGTATCTATAAATAGCTTGGTGTGATTCGGAGTGGCCACGATCCACGTGCTCTTTCGGAGCGGGTTTACGGGGAAAAGATTGTCAACAAGAAACGAGCGTGGAAGACAAGGACAGAGTCAGCTGCCAATCGGAGTCGAAATCGATGTCGACAACGGCACGCGTGTGTGTTCCGTCCGCGTGACATCACACATCGCGTAAACATTCTCGGTATTCGTAACGAAATTTTGCGAAGGGCGTACGTCCTTGTGCATTCTTCCTACCCCCGGTTCGTGTACGTAAACAAAAACGGTGAACGTGAATGCCGGTGGGAAGTGTCTCGCCGTATATACATAATCGCGTTACGCGATAGTTTCGACGCGACTACTACGACTCTCGTGGGATCTCGAAAGATCGCGGAATTTTCGTGTACAGGGGGGGACGATTGCTCGCGAGCCGTGGTCCTCGCTCGTAAACGAGAATACGAAATCCTGTTAACTCGGATCCGTTAACGTAACGGGTACCGAAGACCGGGCTGGCGGCTGGTGGCGAACGGAGCGAAATCGCGCCGCGAATAAAAGTGCTCGGGGAAACGATTTGGTCGCTCGAACTCGGTTACGGAACGGAAACATCGGAAGAAGAGGGAATCGTGCACGAAAGGTGGAAGCGTTGCCCGCGGTTCTAAACGCCTGACGAAGGGGGCAGGGGGGGGGGACGGAGAGGCGAAGGATGCTGTCCGGTCGTCGCGGTTAATTCGCACGTGTCGCGATGTCGGGCGGCACGGCGGGCGTCCGTGGCACCGGCGCCGAGTGCAGGAAGTTCGCGCCGAACATATTCAACAAGAGCAAGTGCAGCAGCTGCTTCAAGCAGAAGGAGGAGCACAGCGCGGAGGCTCTGGAATGCAACAGGGTGAGTTTTGCTTGATGGACTCTATCGGTCTCGCTCTCTCTACCGGGAGTGTGCGTGCCCCGTCGGTGTCTTTCTCTCACTCCCGCTCTCGGCGGATCGCGGGACCACGCTCCTTCTCTCTCGCGCTCGCTGCCCAAGCGTATACGTTCGTCTCGCTTGCTCTCGTGTCGTGCGTACCCCGGTCCATCGCGACCGGGCATTTTCTCTTTCTTGCTCGCCCTCGAATTCCATGGCGCGTCCGTGATCGGGACCGGGCTGAGAAGGACGAAGGTCCTGTCGGGAGGGACGTTGAGGTTATGTAAGAGCGTGTACCGGTGAACGCGATTAGTATAGGTTGGAATGAATGGTATCGAGTCCTCTATGTGTTTCCCTCTCTTTCTTTTATTCTTCGTATTACGTTGACGCGGTTTACCGTAACGTTACGCGCGACGATCGATCCCTGAATTTTAGGAGATTTAGGTCTGCGTTGAAAAATGCTCTATTTTTTTTTTGTTATTTTGTTCAAAGTTTTTTATTCGGTTGGTAAAGCTGCGAACTAACGCTAAATGTTGTACAAGCGAAGACGATACTAGCGTGAGTTTGCTAAGAATGTTTACTATTACCGAGTGATGTGCACACATTGTGTACATATTGATGTAATTTGATACCAACAGGGATAAGATAAGAGTGGCGTTATCATATACATATTTAGAGTTGATCGCAGCTTTTGAGAGAATGATAAATTGCGGACATTACAAAATAATTTTGTTTGAACTCCAAAATTTTGTCTCGTCCAACTACTCATACATAAGTGTGCACGTAACTGTCTATTAAATATGCTGTATTAAATACGCTATACCGATTTAATAATTCTAATTTAATTAAGCGAAACATCAAAATTCCTTGCCTATCAATCTTGTACGCCAACATTTTCAAGGATCGAAGGCTATTCCAAAACACCGTTTTGAGATATCTAATGTATGTAATACAAATTGGAAATGTACTGTATATTTAGCGACTGGTTGGACGTTCGACATTTCAAGGTCAATTTTATTCATTTCGAAGCATAACTTTACAATTTTCGAAGCGGGTTCAACAACTTAACGTCCAAGGTCGATCGGAGTCGCAGCCATATCTGTAACGAAACGATCTTGAAATTATATTTCATCGAAAAATAATTCTACGTAGTCGCTTCGTATAATGCTAAATATCTTCAAAAAGAGTCCAGTGAGGCGACATCGAACCATCATTTAACTTAAATAGCAAATGTCAGATGTGTTATTTCCATTCCGTGAAAATCCTCGAACTGTGTGAGAGCGTTAAACGGCATTCCCACGTGTGACGAATAAAATTTAACCTGTACAATAAATCTGGCCAATAGACCATATCGCGGTAACGTTAAACGTCTACCATCATCGACACGAAATCGACGTTAACTTTTTCATAGGTCAATCTCCTCCGTTTCACTCGAATCGTAACTACTGATAATGTATAAATAAACATGGAGTAGGACGTAAATACCAAGCGTAGCATAAGTTAGTTGACGTCGAAAAAAACGAGAAAAAGAAAAAGAAGAAAAAGAAGAGGAACACGGGAACTTTTATCGTGCCGTTTTCTTTCTTCCTATGTGGTTTTTATTTACAACACGGAGCCTCGGACAGATCCGGTCGATGAGCAAAATTGCCTCGTAAAAGACGGGGGGGGGGGGGGGGCAAAATAAAAACGTTAAAAATCAATTCACGTTGCGAAGCGTACGGTACCGCCGAATGGCAGCTCGAGAATGTATTATTAGGTTGTCCCAAAAGTTTCTTTCGTTTTATTAATAAGTAATACATACACAATATTTTGTCTAATGTTACGACATCAATATCTAAGAAATTAGATTGTCTATTTATATAAACACTGCCACACAAAATAATTGAATGCAAATTACGAAAGAAACTTTTGGGACAACCTAATATACATATGTTGATATCGTGGCGATAAGGCGATCCTTATTGTTTCCTCTGTGTGTGTGTGCGTGTGTGTTTTAAAGTAAAACAATGTTGATACCTTGATCCTTTATCGCAGTTATTCGTTCGAGTGCCCAGCCAAGGGTTAATAATTAAATCCAACCTCGGTGGCACCCCCCCCTCCCCAGGTTTTCCTTTTTGGTAGAAAAGTGGAGTTTGAGAAATAGCGGTGTAAATCATGCGCGTGTAGAGGAGTCCGACCGCGACGAAAGCTTCACCGGTTCGGATTTTTTCTTCCGGGGGCCAGTGCGGGGCGATTTCGTGAACGCTCACAATGGGACACGTTCCCCCCGTCCTTTACGCCGTTGCAAATTTCGGAATGTCGGCAGCCTTGCGACCTGTTCTCGGTGCATTCCAGCCGTCTTCCTCCCAGCACCCCTGGAACAC